TTTCTTTTTTTTTTGTCTTTCTTTTGCTTTTGGAGTTGGTTTGTGTATATTTTATTCTTTTCCCTGTACTCTTGTGAAGAACGTTGTTCTTTTTTCCTTTTCTTCTGTGTTTAGTACTTTCTTAAGTGTTTCATGTAGAGATGGTTTTGTGGCTGCATAAGTTCTTAGGGATTGGATATCTGGGAAAGATTTTAATTCTCCCTCACTGATGAAGCTTAGCTTGGCTGGGTAGGTTATTCTTGGTTGAAATTGTTTATCCTTTAGGACTTTGAAGATAGGGCTCCAAGCTCTCCTAGCCTGCAGGGTTTCTGCAGATAAATCTGCTGCTATTCTGATTGGTCTTCCATGGTGGGTGATCTGGCCTTTTTCTCTTGCTGCCTTTAGGATTTTTTCTTTTGTGCCTACTTTATTTAGGCGAATTATTATGTGTCTAGGAGTTGGTCTTCTCATTTGTTGTCTTGCGGGGGTTCTCTGAATCTCTTGTGTTTGAATTTTTGTATCACTGATTAGATGAGGGAAATTTTCTTGAATGATCTCGTGGAAAGTTTGTTCCAATGTGGTCTCTGTTTCTCTTTCTGCCTCAGGGAGTCCGATTATTCTTAGTTTAGGCCTCTTGAGGTAGTCACTCATCTCTTGAAGGTTTTGTTCTGTCTTTTTTAGCTTATTTTCTGTGTTTTTAAGAGTTTGGGTTATTTCTATATTTTGGTCCTCAAGCTCTGAGATTCTTTCTTCTGCTTGGGTAATTCTGCTTTCCATGCTTATCAATTTGTTATTTATTTCATTCACAGTATTCTTTATTACTGTTATCTCAGATATCAGCTCCTTCCTAGTTTCTTCTTGTGTCTCCTCAATTCTTTTTAATCTCTCCATTATTGTTTTGATATCTACATTTGCATTTTGAGACCCTTCATTCTGGGGACTTTTCATTGTTTGTATTCCAAAGTCAGTTTTCTCATTGTCTGCTCTCCCAGGCGTCTGGGAGAGACCCATACTCTTCTTTTGGTTTTTCTTCATTTCTGTAGATTTTTCTCCCTTTACCCCTTTCCCTCCCCCTCTTCAATTCTGTTTTTGAGGGAAGGTGGGGTTGCTTTTATTTCTCTTCTGCAATGACCTGTTCTTCCTTATGAGGGTCTTCTGGTTTTGTTCACTTTTCCCTCTGCTTTACAGTCTGTCTATTCAGCAGTTTGCAGTCTTGGTCCGTTCAGAGAACCTCACCAGTTCACCTATGCCGTCGCCATCTTGCCCCATCTCCCTTGAATCGAAAATATTTTTAAATGTTCTAGGATCTGTAATTAAAATGAAATGTCAAAGGGTACCAGTGTATCATAGCATTTTTCTTTATAGTTTCTTAATGAATTACTAGTATCCACCATGTAATTCTTTTATTCTGAAAACAAATTAGAAAAAAGCACCTATACTTTTAAATCAGTCTTCAGTTCTAATACACCTGCTAACTGTCCAATTTTCCTCGTACTTCTTTCCTTGTGTACCTTTTTTCATGATATACCCCTTCAGCGCTCCTTGCTTAGCTAAATCTTCACTGTCCTGATGGAAGTCCCTGCCAATATTTCTCAAAATAGTTTACACAAAACACTAGTTACATGATCTGTTATTAGATATCATGGACTTCTTGGTCAAATAAATTTGGAAAACTCAAATGACACATTTTAACCAGGTTTGTTGTAGTGTTTTTAAATTTCAATAATATCTCAGTCTTCAGTTTGCTGATAATCCATTGTGATTCTTCAAGATGACAGTTTATTGTGCACTTTCTCAAACAATTTTGCCCATATTTTCAAAAAATATTTTATGGGACAAGTGATCTTGTATCCTTCAGCCTTTTAAAAAAATATCCTGTTAAAATAACTCAAATTACCATCCCATTGTCCTCTCCCAGGTAAGCTTCTTAAGGGAACTTGCATCCTCTTTGTGCTTCTTGGTCTGGTCTCATTTAATTCTTGATTGCTACTACCTTATTTTGCTCCTAATACCTGCTGTTCTATCTCTTCTTTCTTCTCAGTATGAACTAGCTCCTCCTTTCCTAATGATGAAGGAGATTAAAGCATAGTATAGGACAGGGAACGAATTAAAACTGGAAAACTTAGATAACTATATATTTAATGTAATCCTCCCAAACTACCACTTTTGTTATTTATTTCTTTGTTTTAAGGGAGTTTGGGTCTGATGTCATGTATGTCTGAGTTAAAGTCTTAAGTTTCTCCATGGCAGAAATCCAGCCATATTTCTCCCTCGTACTCATCCTGCTTCCATGTTGCTTTGTGATAGTGTTCTAGACTCTTTCCTGAACCAATAATACTATCAAGAGATACCATTATTTTTTCCATAATAAAAATGGATGAAGATACTTTCAAACATTTTAAAACTGAATACATAGTTTATGGGTTTACTGTCTTGAGTGGAGCAGGCTGTGCTACAAAAATGGTAAATACTCAGAGCTTCCCTTTAAAACAGCAATATATCGTGTTTTCCAACTTTAATCATCTTATTTAAGCTATGTCATTAATGTATAACATGCTTCTTAAAGCCAAGTTATTTTGCTAAATATGGGAAGTCTAGAATCTCAAGATTTGTCCCCTACCCACAAATAACTTAGTAGTAATAGAGAAAAGAAATCTGAAAGGATAGCATGTAGAGAGATGAACAATACAAGAAGTTACTTCAATAAATATCCTATGTTAATACATGTTTACAAGGTTAAGTATCCCTTGTCTGAATGCTTGGGACCACATGTGCTTCAGAATTGGGTTTTTTCCAGATTTGGTATTATTTGCAGTATACCAGTTAAGCATCTCAAATTCAAAAATTGGAAATGTTCTAATGAACATCTCTTTTCAGCATCATATTTGGTACTTAAAAAGTTTGATTTTGGAGGATTTCATATTTTTGAATTTGGGATACTCAACTTGTATTATATAGAACAAGCAATGTTTTTGGTATACAGAGGCAAAAGAGACTCAGGCCAAAGTGCTCTGCAGAATTTTCAAAAATGGTTAGACCTAGTTTTGAAAGTTGACTAAAGTTACTAATTAAGGAAGGGTGGAGAGGGCAAGAGCAGAGGCATCCAGGAAGAACACACAGGATATGTTTACAGGGTATGAGGCTGAGAGTTCTGGAGGACATTTAGTAATTTCAAGAGATGTCAGATGTTATATATGAAATACACACAAAGTTTAGTATTCTGAAATTTTTTATACATTTACAGATTACACGGTCTGTACGCGCGCACGTGTGTGTGTGTGTGTACTCTTGGATACAAATGGAATCAACAGAATATATCATGAGTATCTTTCCACATTTCTACAACAGCAGATCTTCAGAATATTCTACTGTTTGATATTTCATCAAACGGATGAAAACATTTAAAATAAACTTCATAAAAGACTCAGAAGTACTAAATGGAGGGAAGTGAATATAGATAAGAACATTCTGCTAGATAATCTAGTTTATAAAGTATTTTCACTTTTTAGCTTCCTTTCCCAGAAAGCTGCTCTCCTTGTTTCTGATTTGCCTCTACAGAGCCAGAGAGGCCAGCTTACTTAACTCCCTGGGGAAAAACCCAGGTCAGCCATCCAAGTTCATTTTCCTGTCTGATAGCATCTTCCATAGATAATTGATATCAGAATGCTATCCTTTCCTACAGGAGTGTGACCTTACTTACCCCTTGACTTCTACAAGACAGTGATATGAGAATATAGTACTCCAAGCCTGATATCAGTGTAGGAGATAAGCTCATGCTGTGGGGAGAGAACTAGTCTTTTCGTTCCCTGAGATTGAACCATGGTCCGCTAAGGTTCTGTTTGGTCCTTTGATTCTGTTATTTTGTAAGTACTTCCCTTGGAGTCTATGAAAGATAAGTTCCAGGACCTCCCTCAGATACTAAAATCCAAGGACTCTCAAGTCCCTGATATAAAATGGCATAATATTTGCATGTATCCTATGCACATGCTCCAATATAGTTTGAATCATCTCTAGATTACTTATAACATCAAATAAAATATATATGTAAATAGTTATTATACTTTATTATTTAGGGAATAATAACAAGGAAGAAAGTCTGTACATGTTCAGTACAGATGCAAATTTTTTTCTGAATATTTTTGATCCCCTGTTAGTTGAATCCACAGATGCTGAATCCACAGATGTAGAAGTCCAACTGTACTTGCTAGGCTGTCATTTGAGTGAAAGCTGTGATTTGTTTTATGCAGAACTAAGACCATTGACTGGAAGATATAAGAGGATAGATATTTGTAATTTAAAGAACTTCCTAAAAGTATAACAAAGAGGTGCTTTTATACTAATTCTTGAAAGTGATCCCCAAATCATTCATGATGCCCAATATCTCTCTCCAACGTTGATATTCGGTAGGTAGAATTGGCTGGTGGGAAGACTATTTTAAAGTAACTGGAAGAAAGGATATTGTAAGATGGTTTGCATTTAATTTTTTTAGCCTAACATATAATTCACCAAACTAATACTTTGCTAGCTGACCTTATGTCAGGCAACCATTTTTCAGAATAAACTATAGAATATAAGGGAAAAGTTGAAGTGAAGAAAACCTATGCTATTTGGTACTTAGATTTTTGTGGCCCTTGAATGAATATAATCTAAATTGATGTGAGTTGAGAGTTCTGGCTTTTTAAACTTTTCTTTGACCTCAAAATTTAAGTATATGAGTTAAAGTCTAATTCCAAATATTAAGTTCTAGGTAAATTAATATAGAATATGATTTTTTAAAATAAAAAACTCAGGATATTTATTTTGTTTATAAAAACCAACAACTTAATGCCAAGTAAGGAGTCTGAGAAATGAAGTTATAAATCCTGCTCTTGAAGGAAATAGGAGATAAAATAGAAGTGTGAGTTTTTTCCCCACTGGTTTTAAGTATGACATTTTCAAATAGTGACTTTTTATCTTTTTCTTTAGAGACTGCTGTGCTACAGAAAAGGATGTGACTTTCAGAATAACCTTGAGTGAGAAGGATGAGTCCAGATGTGCCTCTGCTGAATGATTACAAGCAGGACTTCTTTCTGAAGCGCTTTCCACAGACTGTTCTTGGAGGCCCTCGACTCAGATTAGGCTATTGTGCCCCTCCTTACATATATGTTAATCAAATTATCCTTTTTCTAATGCCGTGGGTTTGGGGTGGCATAGGAACACTTTTGTATCAGTTATCCATCCTGAAAGACTATTATACAGCAGCACTTTCAGGTGGATTAATGCTTTTGACTGCAATTGTCATCCAGTTCACAAGTTTATATGCCAGAAACAAATCAGTGACGGTGGAAAGAATACTAACCACAGATATCTTAGCAGAGGAAGATGAGCATGAGTTTACAAGTTGTGCAGGTGCTGAGACTATCAAATTTTTAATTCCTGGCAAGAAATATATAGCCAACACAGTTTTTCATTCTGTCCTTGCTGGGTTAGTGTGTGGGCTTGGAACATGGTATCTGCTCCCAAATAGAATAACTTTGCTGTATGGCAGTATGGGAGGCACTGCTCTACTATTTGTCTTTGGGTGGATTACATTATGTATAGGAGAATATTCATTAATTGTAAACACAGCTACAGAGACTGCAACTTTCCAGACACAGGATGCTTATGAAATCACTCCTCTTATGAGACCTCTTTATATTTTTTTCTTTGTTTCTGTGGATCTTGCACACAGGTAAAAACCTACCAAATATTTTATAACTAATTTTGGTTTTAAGTACACATAGTAAGAGAGCTCTCCTTACCATTAAAAAAAATGAATCTATGGATAAAAAATCAAGAACAAACCACTGGGTGACAGGTTGTTTTAATCCTAATCTCTGCAAAACACTCATACTAAAACAGCAATTAAATCTTGTTGAAGAGTCAAAAAAATACATTTTAAGATAAATAAGCAACTTTTCAATTCTGTGTTTCACTTTAAATAAGGAGCTTTGAATCTATAAGCTAGCTAGTCTGAAACCTGTATAAAGATGGCAGAGCTTTCCTGTGGAAAGGAAAGGGAAGAACTTAAAATTTATACACAAATATGTGCAGATTGAGTGAATTTAAGATGAATAGAAAATTAATTTCTAATTCTGTGATAATAACAATATTAGAAAGAATATTAATTTTTTTAAGAGACCAGTTTGTTATAGAAAATAGTTTAACAAACATACTTGTTCACAGAATTGTTTGATAACCCCTTTTGCTTGCCTTTCTAAATCTGACTTTTCTATTTCTGTAGATTGCAGTTTTCTCTTTCCCAGGTTAGTGTCCAGGTAGAAATGTTCAGGCATGTTATGAACTCAATATTTATGTCTCTCCAAATTAATATATTGAAGTCCTAAACCCCCCCCAATATGATTATATTTGGAGATGAGGCCTTTGGGAGGTAATTAGATTATGAAGGTGGGGCCCTGATCTGATAGGATTAGTGCCCTTATGAGAAGAGGCGCCAGAGAGCATGATTTTACTCCCTCTGCCATGTAAGGACACAGCAAGAAGGTGGCCCTCTGCAAGCTAGGAAGAGAGCTCTCACCAAAGCCTGACCATATATGGGCAACCTGACCTTGGACTTCCAGCCTCCAGAACTGTGAGAAAACAAACTTCTGTTGTTAAGCCATCATGTCTATGGTATTTTGTTGTGGCAGCTCACACTAAGATATTAGTATTGAGAAGTGAGGTACTGCTGAAACAAATACTTAAAAATGTGAAAGTGGCTTTGTAACTGTTCGAAAGGCTGGAAGAGTTTTGATGTGCATATAGATGTTAAGAGTGATTTTGATGAGGTCTCAGATAGAAATGAGGAACATATTATTGGAAACTAGCAGAAAAGCAATCCTTGTTATACAGTTCCAAAGAACTTGACTGAACTGTGTCCTAATGTTTTGTGGAAGGTAGAATTTCAGAATGATAAAATGGGATATTTAGGCAAAGAGATTTCAAAGCAAAGTGTTGAAGGAGCAGCTTGGTTTCTCCTGACTGCTTACAGTAAAATGCAAAAGGAGAGAGGTTAGTTGAAGAAGGAATTGTTAAGCAAAAACCAACCAAACAAAACAATAGAACTTGAAGATTTGTAAAATTTTATACTATATATCTATATTGCCAAACATCAGGAACCATGCTATTGTTTAAGTCATTCAGTCTATGGTATTTTGTTATGACAGCCTAAGCTAAGTTTAAGACATTTAAAAATATTTGGTTTGTGTACCGAGACTGACCTCTTCTTGAGTGTCTATTTGCTGTTTCTGAACTCATAATCTCTTCTAATTATGCTACATTTACGAGCCAGAGGACAATGTAATGCACGTAGTTCCTCACCTAATCAAATGTGTAGGAGAATTCATCAGTAGGGAATCCATTTATATTTGGTTTCTTAATACCACTGTCATTTACTAACTATAACATATATTACATTAAATGTTTGATTTTGAAAAGCTAACAGTAAAATTGGGTTTAAATGTGCGTGTATACATGTGACCCCCTTTAAAAGATTTAATTTTATGAGATTATTTTCAGAATTCAGATTCTTGAGTTACTTTATCACTATACCATTTCTGAAATCAGAAATTATATGCCTGCTATAATCTTTGTGTTTAAATGATGTTCTAAGTTCTTAAATGTTTGTTTGTTTGTTTATTTATTTATTTTGGAATTGGAGTCTCACTCTGTCGCCCAGACTAGAGTGCAGTGGCATGCTCCTGGCCACCGCAGCCTCGACCTGCTGGGCTCAGGCGATCCTTCAGCCTCAGCCTTCCAAGTAGCTGGAACTACAGGCATGTGCTACCATGCTCAACTAATTTTTTGATTTATTGTAGAGACGAGGTCTCACCGTGTTGCCCAGGCTGGTCTCGAATCTGTGGGCTCAGGCAATCCTCTCACCTTGGCCTCCCAAAGTGCTGGGATTATAGGCATGAACCACCATGCCCAGCCAGTTCTTTAATTTTTTTAAAAAATCGGTTAATTTTTAATTTTGTCTTGACTTTCTATATTACTCATTATTGAATGAAAGCACATAAAAGTTTTTTTTTTTTTTAACAAAATTTTATTGGATTTAATACAGTTATAATGCCTAAAATTTTGATAATTACACTGTCTTTTTGTGGTGCTGGAAACGATCAACTGCTTCAAGATGAAGCTGAATATCTCCTTCCCAGTTACTGGCTGCCAGAAACTCATTGAAGCAGATGAGGAACATAAGCCTTGTACTCTGTATGAGAAGTATGTAGCCACAGAAGTTGCTGCTCGTGTTCTGGGTAAAGAATGGAAAGGTTATATTGTCCAAATCAGTGGTAGGAACGACAAACAAGATTTCGCCATGAAGCAGGGTGCCTTAACCCATGGCTCTGTCTGTCCACTGCTGAGTACAGGACATTCTTGTTATAGACAGAGGAGAACTGGAGAAAGAAAACACAAATGTGTTCGGGTTTGCATTGTAGGTGACAATCTGAGGGTTCTCAACTTGGTTATTGTTTTTTTAAAAAGGGGAGGAGAAAAGGATATTTGTAGGCTGACTGGCAGTATAGTGCCTCATTGCCCAGGACCAAAAGAGCTAGCAGAATCCTCAGACTTTTCAACCTCTTTAAAGAAGATGATGTTCTTCAATATGTTGTAAGAATCTTAAACAAAGAAGGTAAGAAACATAGGACCAAAGCACCTAGGATTTAGTGTCCTGTTACTCCACATGTCCTGCAATACAAATGCCAGTGTATTGCTCTGAAGAAATAACATATTAAGAAAAATAAGGAAGAAGTCACAGGATATGCTAAAATTTTGGCCAAGAGAATGAAGGAGGCCAAAGAAAGATGCCAGGAACAGATTGCCGAGAGAGACAGTCCATCCTCTCTGCAAGTTTCAACTTCTGAGTCTAGTCAGAAACGCAATTTTCTAAGTAACAAATCAGGCTTCACAAAATAATAAATTTGATATTACAAAAAGTTTGTTTTTTGTTTTACTATAGCTAAAAGAAAAGGTAGTCCTCACATCTGCTAATTTTAAAGAAGAAAATGACTGGTTTATCCAGAAAAATTACCTGCTTTTGCACAATTTTAGCTGTGGCTAACAAAATAATAGAATTGAGATGATCTGTATACAAGGTGTGGTACTACAGCCAAATTAAATGATATATGAAATGCATGCACTCTTCAAATTTAGACAGTTGTTGGATATATCAAATTGCTTATTGTTTTTAATTCAGAGGATGTGAAAGAAAACTGAAGACTTGAGTCCCACGGTGTAGTAACCTTTCTTTTGCCATTTTGTATTCTACCCAGCACAATTGTGTAATAATAATTTTAAATGTCTTTTTCTGTTCATTTTAATTTTATCAAAGACAAACAATGAATCTACAATGCTTATTAGCTCAGTGACTCTCAGGAATTGTTTGAATGAATAATACACATTTATATCATCTTAGCCGCTGTAAAAACACAGCTTAATTCTTGGCATGTGGAACTTAATGTGTGTGCAGAATCTGAAATACTTTTATACTTGTTAGGTTCAAAACAAAGTTTTTAAGGGATGAAAATTTTTACCCTAGAAAATTCCTGTTACATTATCAGAAATATTAGAACTTAAACAATATTTTTATATAAAAGAATCACAATAATCATCCACTTAGGGCTGAGTCATATATACAGGAGAATAATCAGTGTTTGGTTACTTCAATTACATGTGCCTATATTTATTTATAATACCCTTGTATATAAATACTGTGTCATTGTTTATTTAAAAACAAAGAGATATAGAAATGGAGTCTAGTTTTGGTAAAATTCTGAAGTATACATTAATTTTATGCAATTTATTCTATACTTGAGTATGTTTGCAAGAGAAGCGTTGTCTTGGGGAACAACAACAAACACTGTACAAGTCTGCATGTTTTCCTTCACCTTCCTGTAGCTTATGTGGCGTTTGATTTTCTTGATTTTTGTTACTTGAGTGTTTTCTTCTCAGAATGAAATGAATTTTATTTTAAAACTACACTATAGAAAGTATTGCTTTTTAATTTAGCATCACATTGTTAACCTTGTGTTCAGTATTTCTCTGTAAAAATTTGAAGGGCATATATTATGAGAATGCATTAGCTGGCATAAATGTGGGCAAACATATTCCATACATAGTCGCTATACATTTGCTTTTGGGCTGTCAACATATATGAGGGCTACCAAAAAAAAAAAAAACACCTCGGAATTATCTTTTAGATGTTGAGCCCCTTGTAGTACAGGCTTCCCCTGCAATGTAAGTGTTCTAGGAATCCATCGGCATCAGTGTACCAGCTAACTTTGTAAGAGGCTGTTTGACTTTCTTTCAACACATTTACCCATTTTATGATAAGTGATTTACAAGCACGTCTGCCCACACTGCACTGAGTGTTTAGCAGTTTTTGAACAAGAACGGCATGACCCCCATATTCACCCCACTCTATTTACCTGATCACACCCCAGCTGAGTTCTCCCTCCCCCACCCATGAAAAAAATCTTTAAAGGTGAAACAAAAAACAGCAGAAGCACTAAAAGGCATAACTATTGACGAGTTCAAAAACAGCAGTGGAAAAAGCATCTCAATAGGTGTGTTGCATCAGACAGTATTTTGAAGGTGACTGAAATTTATATAACAATAAATACACACTTTTAAATAAATTCTAGGTTTTTTGTCCCATCCCTAATACTTAAATGGGTAATTATTACAGAAGTTGTCTTTCTCCTTGACTTTTATTCCTAGTATCAGGTATTCAAATATAGTTATGCTGTATTTTGAGATTTAGTTTTCTCTTTTGAAAATTATCTTTGGAATTTCATATGTACTGTCATCTTGTTGGTCTCTGGACCTCATGTTTGGTTAGCCTTATCCAAAAAAGTAGCAATATGTTGATAATGTTTATGCTATTATATTTTAAAACTATATTAAATTATTTGAAACTGGCTCGGTTTGGTGGCTTATACCTGTAATCCCACCACTTTGGAAGTCTGAGGCAGGAGTTACTTGAGGCCAGGAGTTTGCGATCAGCCTGGGCAACACAACATAGTGAGACCCTGTCTCTAAAACAAACAACACAACACAACAGAGCAAGACCCTGCCTCTAAAATAAGTAAAGAGATAGATATGTAGATTGATAAATATAGAGATAGACAGAGATGGATAGATAGTTGGATGTGGTGTAGTCCCAGCTACTCGGAAGGCTGAGGCAGGAAGTTTCCTTGAGCCCAGGAGTTTGAGGCTGTGGTGAGCTGTGATCATGCCCCTGCACTTCAGCCTGGTTGATAGAGTGAGATTCTGACTCAAAAAATAAATAAGAAAATGAATGATTTGAGACAGTTTAATGGCATTGTTTTTAATGGTTAAGTGCGGTATCAAATATGGGTTTCTCTGCATAAGGTAGAGACAGTCTTTATGAGGAGATTGTGTTGTACAAGTTTGTGTTCTCAAATCCATACCATTGCTTATTCAAAATGGAACAGTATTATAAATGCTAGTTGGATTTCCAGGGTAATCCTCAGTCATAACCTAAGTTGTTTACTTCTGATATTAACTATACTGACTTCAGATGTTGGGTCCTGGGAGCAGGACAGTATGGGAGAGAGAGGAAGAAAAGAGCTTTCTCTCTTTCTTAGCTGCTGAAGTATGGACACAAGTAAGGCTTTGGCTTTCCCAAAGTTAAATTTTAAATTATAAAATTTTATACTTTAAAGGATCATTGATAGAGTTTCATCCAATATAGTTTAGACATTTAGGGGAGAAATATTTTTGCCCTGGCCTCTGTTGTTCAGTTTTATAAATTCCTCTATTCGGTTTTCTGACTATTCAGTGATGGCTTTTAATTATTTCTTTGCACATTTGAACTCACATACCCTCTCAGTGCTAAGCTTGTATACAATTGAGTTTACTCAGATTGTCAAATTCAACCTAAGAAAAGTGGATAATTTTCCAGGAGTAGTCGCTGGTATGGGGAAGGAGAGTAGTCACATTTTATGTGTGTTGATCATTTGTAAATTGGGATGGGACCTTTTTTTGTTTTGTTTTGGGGGTATGTTATTTTGTGTTATTTTTCCTAGAAAGATCTTCTTCTATATGTTAATTTATGTTATATTAATTTATATGATTTAAACATTCTTTTTTATAGATTTATGGTAGACATACCAGCTCTAGAACAAACGAATCAGATTTTACACATCTTGTTTATATTTTTACCCTTTCTGTGGGCACTTGGGACTCTGCCCCCGCCTGATGCACTTGTCTTATGGGCAATGGAGCAGATTTTAGAGTTTGGCCTTGGAGGCTCATCTATGTCAACCCACCTACGGTGATTATTTAAAAATACTGCTGATATATGCAATTTATTCTTAAGGAATGTTTTTCTTTTCAACTAAATCGTCTTTCTTTTTTCCTCTGCAGGTTATTAATAATGTTCATAATTTCTGCTGGAACAGCTATAACATCATATTTCATTCCCAGCACTGTTGGTGTGGTTCTTTTCATGACTGGACTTGGTTTCTTACTGAGTCTTAACCTAAGTAACATGGATTTTGTCTTCAAACACAGTGTGACTAGACACAGAGCTGGAGCCAAATCTAAAGCTTTACCCAGCGGTTCAGAAAAACATTTTACATGGAAGGAATACCTTTTCTACATCATTATATTAGTATTGGCTCTTTTAGAAACTGGTCTGATTCATCACTTTGCTGGCTTCTCCCAAATTTCCAAAAGCAACTCCCAGGCTATTGTTGGCTATGGTTTGATGATATTACTTATAATACTGTGGATACTTAGAGAAATTCAAAGCGTGTATATCTTGGGAATTTTTCGAAACCCTTTCTATCCAAAGGATGTGCAAACTGTGTCTGTCTTCTTAGAGAAGCAAAAAATGCTCATGAAGATTGGTATTTCCAGACGGATTTTGCTGACTCTAGGTAGGAAGATAAAATCTACTAATTTTGTGTTATAAACCATATCTAGGGAGTATTAAAAAATACTATGGAATTCCCATGTTTGTTTGGTATACTGCATACAAGTGTTCATTTTAAAATTTTTTTTAATTGCTTAAATGTGATCATAAAAAAACTTATATTTGTCAAAATAAAATATGGTAGAAGGGGTTATTCTGCCTTAATTAAATTCGTCTCTTTTTGCTTTGTTTTGTTGTAGTGTCACCTTTTGCTATGATAGCATTTCTTTCATTGGACAGTTCCTTACAAGGGCTCCACTCTGTGTCTATCTCTATTGGATTCACAAGAGCTTTTAGAATGGTAATTCTAATATGTACTTAATAGTATTTTCCTGTTGCTAAATTTGTGATTTTTGTTTAACTGTTTACTCAGATTGTCAAATTCAACCTAAGAAAAGTGGATAATTTATATACTGCAGGTATGGCAACATACAGAAAATGCTTTATTGGAAACAGTCATTGTATCAGCATTACACATCATTTCCAGTACAGACTTATGGTGGAATAGAAGCCTAGATACAGGAATCAGACTCTTATTGGTAAATATATTTTTTAACAACTTTATTGATACATGTTTTATATAACAAAATTTATCCACTTAAAATATACCATTTAATGGTATATATTCAGTTGTGTAGCCATCACTACAATCTAATTTTGGAGCATTTTCAACATCCCAAAAAGAAACTTTATATACACTAATAGCCATTACCTATTCCCCTTCTCCATTCCACTTACCACCCATTCTAGTTCTGGCAACCATTAATCTTTTTGTCGCTATGGATTTTCCTACACTGGGTATTTCACATTAGAGGAATTACGTAGTGTTCTTTTGTATCTGACTTCTTTCACTTTTATGTTTTCGAGGTTCATTCATGTTATAACATGTATTAGTACAGGCATGCACTGCATAAGGACATTTTGTGGTCAACAGCAGACCACATACACAACAGTGGTTTTTTAAGACTATGATGGATATGAAAAATTTGTATTACCTAGTAATAGAGCCCTTGTAATGTCTCACATTACTTATGTGTACAAACCTACTTCGCTGCCAGTCATATAGAAGTATGGCACATGCAATTTTGCACAGTGAGTACTACTTGATAATGGCAACAAATGACTATGTTATGGTTTATGTATTTACTATACTACACTTTTTATAATTATTTTAGAATATAGTACTTCCACTTATAATAAAAAAAAGTTAACTGTAAAAGTTTCAGTTAGGTTCTTCAGGAGTATTCCAGAAGAAGGCATTATTATTATGGCAAATGACAGCTCCATACCTGTTAGTGCTTCTGAAAATCTCCCAGTGGAACTAAATGTAGCAGTGGAAGACAGTGATATGTATGATCCTGACCCTGTGTAGGCCTAGGCTAATGTGTATATTTGTTTGTGTTCTAGTTTTTGACAAAAATGTTTACAAAGTAAAAAATAAAAATTTTAAAATAGAAAAAAGCCTGTAGATAGGGATATAAAGAAACATTTATATAGTTTTACAGTGTGTTTTAAGCTAAGTATCATTACAAGACTCAAAGTCAAAAAAGAATAAGTTAAGGTTAATTTATTACTGAAGAAAGAAATATTTAAAAAATAAATATAGTGTACAGTATTTATAAAATCCATAGAAGTATATAGTAATGTCCTAGGACTTCACATTTACTTAGCCCGCAGTCACTAATGCACCCAGAGAAACTTCCAGTCCTGAAAGCCCCATTTATGGTAAGTGCCATATTCAGTTGCCATTTTTATCTTTTTTTTTTTCTTGAGATGGAGTCTCACTCGGTCACCCAGGCTGTAGTGCACTCATGGCCATCCCAGTCGACCTGCTTGGCTTCACCAATCTTTCTGCCTCAGCCTTCCAAGTAGCCAGAACTACAGGCACATGCTACCACCCCCAGCTAATTTTTTTATTTATTGTAGAGATGAAGTCTCACCATGTTGCCCAGGCTGGTCTCGAACATGCGGGCTCAGGCAGTCCTTTCGCCTTGGCCTCCCAAAGTGCTGCGGTTACAGGCTTGAGCCACCATGCCCGGCCTTATCTTTTATAATGTATTTTTATGGTATGTTTTCTATGTTTAGATATACATATACTTACCATTATGTTGTAATTGCCTACAGTATTCAGTACAATAGGTTTGTTGCCTAGGAGCAATATGCTATACCATATAGCTAAGGTATTTAATAACTATACCACCTTGCTTTACCATCTGTGTAAGCACACTCTGATATTGGCACAACAATGAAATCACCTAACAACACGTTTCCTAGAACATAACCTTATCAAGTGACACATAACTGCATTTCATTCTTTTTAATTGCCAAATAGTATTGTATTGTGTAGAGATATGTGACATTTGGTTAATTTAATTATCAGATGATGAATATTTAGGTTGTTTCCACTTTTGACTATTAAGAAAACTACTGCTAGCCGGGCTCGGTGGCTCAGCCTGTAATCCCGCGCCTTTGGGAGGCTGAGGTGAGTGGATTGCCTGAGCCCGCGGGTTCGAGACCCGCCTGGGCAGCGAGACCTCATCTCTACCATAAATCAAAAAATCAGCCGGGCGTGGTAGCGCATGCCTGTAATTCCGGCTACTCGGAAGGCTGAGGCGGAAGGATCGCCGGAGCCCAGCAGGTCGAGGCTGCGGTGGCCGGGAGCGGCCACTGCACTCCAGTCTGGGCGACAGTGAGACTCCAACTCAAAAAAAAAAAAAAAAAAAGAAAACTACTGCTATTAAATTGTGTGCAAGTTTATGTATGAACATGCTTTTATTTCTCTTGGGACTAGAATTTCTGTGTGCATAGAAACTCCATGTTTAATTGTTTAATGCTTCAGGCTACTGCAAAACTGTTTTCCAAAGTGGTTGAACCATTTTACATTCCCATCAGTGGTATATGAGGATTCCAGTTTCTCTACATCCTCATCAGCACTTATTATCTGACATTTTCATTATAGCCATACTAGTGAGTGTGAACTGCTTGCTGTCTCATTGGGATTCTGATTTACATTTCTCTGATCAATAAGGATACATCTTTTTATGTGTTCATGGGCCATTTGTGTGTGTGTGTGGGGGTGTGTGTGTGTGTGTGTGTGTGTATATATGTATATATGAAATTCCTTTGCCCATTTTTATTGGGTTATCTGTCTTTTTTGAGTTGTGATGGTTCTTTCTGTATTCTATCTAGAATAAGTCCCTTGAAAGACATGATATTTTCTTGTATTTGTAGGTTGTCTTTCACCTTCTCAATGTATGTGTAAAAGTTTTTAATTTTATTGAAGTTTAATTTATCTATGTTTGTTTTTTGTGTTTTTGGTGTCATTTCTAACAAACACTGCTTACTCTAAGGTCATGAAGATTTACTGTGTTTTATTCTAAACATTTTATAGTTTTAGCTCTTCCATGGAGGTCTTTGATCTACTCTGAGTTAATTTTTGTATATACTGTGAGGTAGGGTTCCAATTTTTTTTTTCATATGAATCATTTAATTAAATGACTATTTGGCATCATTTAATGAATTGACTATTCTGCCCCCATTGACATTTCTTGGCACCCTTGTCAAAAATCAAATGACCAGAAATGTTAGTGTTTATTTTAGACTACTCTGAGTTTTGTTTTATTCTATGTGTCTGTCTTTATGCCAGCACCACACTGTCTTGGTTACAGTAGCTTTGTAGTAGGTTTTGAAGTTGGGAAGCATGAGTCCTCCAACTTTGTCCTTTTTCAAGACTGTTTTGACTTTTCTTACCTTTCTTTTTGTCCCTTGCATTGCCATATAAATATTAGTTTCAGCTCATCAATTTATGCAAAATGTTCTTTGAGACTGTAATAGGTAATACTTTGAATTTGGAAATTGGCATCTTTAAAATATTAAGCCTTCCAATCCGTGAACATGCAATGTATTTCCATTTATTTAGATCTTCTTTACTTTATATTAGCAGTGTTTTGTAGTTTTCAGTGTATGTCTTACACTTCTTAAATTTATTCCTAAGTATTCTCTTATTTTTGCTGATATTGAACATGGAATTAGCCTTTTAATTTCATGTTTTGGCTTGGTTATTGCTAGAGTATAGAATACAATTGATTTTTATATTCACTTTATATCTCACTGAACTTATTTATTTGTTCTAATAGATTTTTAATGGGTTTTTAGGATATTCTTTATGTAAGATTATGCCATCAGTAATTAAGAGATAGTTTTACATCTTTCTGTCCAATCTGGATGCTTTTCATTTCTTTTTCTTGCCTAATTGCAATGGCTAGAACTCCAGTATAATGTTGAATAGAAGGGTTGAAGTAGACGTGAGGAAAAAGTAGTCACTCTTTCTCCACTAAGCTTGTTGAGAGTCTTTTACCATTAAATGTGATGTCAGCTAAGGATTTCTCATGGATGCTTTTATCAGGTTGAGGAAGTTCTCTTCCATTACTAGGTAAGTGTTTTTTATCATGAAGGGTGTTGGATTTTTTCAAATGATTTTTCCGTGTCTGTTGAAATGGTCTTGTAGTTTTAATCCGTTAATCTACTAACATTGTGTAATATGTTGATTGAATTTTTTTTTTATTGTGAAACCAATATTGTGTTTCTAGAATAAATCCCACTTGGTCATGGTATATAATTTTTTTGTATACCATATATAATTATGTGTTGCATAATGTGTATATAATTATGTGTTGCATAATTTGATTGGCTAGTATTTTGTCCGTCATCTGTATTCATAAAGTGTGTGCGCGTGCACGCGTGCGTGCACAGACACACATGTGTGTGTTTCTAGTTTTTTCTTTCTTTGTGAAGTCATTAGTTTAGTTAGCAGTATAGCATTGATCTTATAAAGTGAGTTAGGAAGTGATCTATACTCTTGTTTGTTGGTAGAGTTGGTGAAAAATAGGTTTTGATTACTCTTAAATGTTTTATAGTATTCAATATATATCTTAAATATTTTGTAGTATGTAGTATTGAAACCACATGAGCCTCAGGTATTCTCTGTGGGTAGTTTTTAAGTTACTAATTCAATCTCTATACTTGTTATAGGTCTATTCGGATGTTTTATTTCTTCCTGAGCCAGTTTTGGTAATTGTGTCTTTCTATGAACTTGCCAGTTTTATCTAATTTGTTGGCACATAGTTGTTTAACCTTAATGTATAGTTAGTACACTGTCAGTTCTGTTTAGTGTAAATTTTTTAAAGAAAGCTTAAACTTTAAAATGTAGTCTCATTTATTAATTGTGAGGTTGGAGAAAATTATAATGAAGAATCACATATAAGAGCCATATTCTCAAAAATATTGAGGCAATAAAATTGTTACATGGTTTTTATTATGTTATCTTGAAAGTTTGTCAAAAGTCTTTAAAAATAATAAAAATCATTTTCAATTTTTACAGGTTGGTATCATGCGTGATCGTTTGATTCAGTTCATCTCTAAATTGCAATTTGCTGTGACTGTACTTTTGGCATCATGGACAGAGAAAAAACGTCGAAAAACTACCACTGTTTTATGTATTCTCAACACCATCTTGTCTCCCTTCGTGTTGGTCTTCATAGTTTTTTCTACACTACTCTCTTCTCCCTTACTTCCTCTCTTCACCCTTCCTGTGTTCTTCGTGGGGTTTCCCCGACCTATTCAGAGTTGGCCAGGAACAGTGGGCACCGCAGCCTGCATGTGTGCAGATACAGTGTACTACTACCAAATGGTTCCCAGATTGACTATTGCACTACAGACTGCAATGGCAGCTGGAAGTTTAGGTAAGTAAATGGGTCGTGCTTAAGAAGTCCTTCACTAATATATTTAAAGTACCAAAAAAAAAAAAAAAAAGAACACACAGAAAAACAGCCTTTAGATTTAACCATAAAACAGAATAACTACTATAATACTTTGATGTGTTGGCAGAAAGACTAAACATGAAATAGAACTGTATCACCTGCTCCTTGTTTTGAGATAAATAAAGTTATAAAATAAAAGTAATTGGAGAAAATTTAATTAAGGCAATGTGACAATTTAAAAAAATACATTTTCTTGAATAAATTCAAAGTACAATCTCAACATTGAAACATGAAAACACTTTTCTCCCAAGATGTCCATGAATTTATACTGAGATCATTTCAAGTAGATACAATAGTTTACATCCATAAGGAGTGAAAATTAGCTATATGTAATATTAGCTTGAGAAACATAAGGGAGTTTTATTCATACTTTACTAGTTATTGTGTAGAGACTCAGGCAGTCTGACAAGATTACTGGGCAGGATAACATAAAAACATTGGTCAGTGATCAGTAGGGTAGCCTTCCAAAATGGAAGGCTATGCAAATATTAGCAAGAAAATAGATTTTTGATAGGAATGAATTTTATGATTTTTAATGCTTTTGTCATACACTAACTGCAAATTTCAACTATACTATTCTTCTCAAGGTTAGTTTTAGATATGGTACAAACTAATGTCAATAGTGTGTCATCTCCTACTGTATGCTTTAGCCCATAAAACTTGTTTCAAAAATGATAGGATTACCGGCAAACTGATTCTAGTCACAACACAGAGTATTAACTGTTATATGATCATGGTGATTCTAGGCAGACTGATTAGAATTTTAATAAAATGCTTACTTGAGTTGAACTTTTCTAATTATCTATTACATAAGATAACTTAGGAAAATAATTTTATCTTTGCAATACAAATTTTTTAATGAATAATCATTTTACTTTCTTAAAGGAAATGTTTTACATTTTTAATACTGTTATCATTTCTAATTAATTTTTATTATGTAATGCTATACTTCTTTTAAAAATATCTGTAGGGGCCAGTCAAAGCTGCTCATGCCTGCAACCCTAGCCCTTGGGAGACTGAGATGGGTGAATCACTCACCCCCAGGAGTTTAAGACCAGCCTCAGCCTGGGCAACATAGTGAGACCTCATCTCCACAAAAAATTAAATAAAAATTAGCTGGGCATGGTGGCACACACCTGTAGTTCCAACTACTTGAGAACCTGAGGCAGAAGGATCACCTGAGCCTAGGAAGTTGAGGCTGCAGTTAGTTGTGAGTGTGCCTCTATACTCCAACATGGAAGACAGTGAGAGACTCTGACTCCAAAAACAAAACAAAAGAAAAACCTGTGGGGTTAAACTCATACCAAAAATAGTAAATAGGTAAAAATTATATTTTATTATCAAATCTATTATATTCAACCAAGGAATATGTTTTAAGGCATTTTCTGGTGAAAACAAAAAAGCAATGAGATAACATTTCATACACATCTAAGTGACAAAAATGTAAAAAGTTTGACACTACCAGTTATTGGCTGGAGTATGCAAGAAACAAGAACTTTCAAATCCTACTAAAAGAGAATGTAAATTTGTACAACTACCTTAAAAGTAAATTGATAGTCTATAGTAAAGATGTATATATCTGATGGCTCACAGACTCCAATTTTAGATTCCATGATCCAGTGATTCCAATTTTAGAGAAACTCTAGTACATGTGTTTTGAGGGTCCTCAAGACTACCCCCAGGTTTGATGGTTCACTAGGAGGATTCACAACTCGGATTTGTTACAGAAAAAGGATACAGAGCAAAATCAGCAGAGGGAAAAGTCACATGGGGTAAAGGAGATCAGAAGCAAGTGCCAGGAGTCCTCTGTCAGTGGAGTCTCACAGAATGTGCAGTTGTGACATGTGTGATATGTTGACTGCCAGAGAAGCTCATTTGAGATTAGGTATAAGGTTTTTATTGTAGGCTGGTCATGTAGGCTATCTCTGCTAGTATATACCAATATTCTAAACTCCCAAAAGGAAAGTGAGTGTTTGTTATATACCATATTGTTTGCACAAACAGACACAGTAAGAGACTTACCAGTTAGAGTTGCTTCCAGATGCTAAAATCACATGTGGCTTTTCTAAACCATATGTTGTACAAGCAGACTTGCATAAAGATGATTTCTGCAGTATTATTTATAGTGGTAAAGAATGGGAAACATCTGAAGTGTTTATAAACGAGAAAAGGAATGCTTTAATTTAATTATATTCATATATTGTAGTCGGCAGTTACAATAAATGAACTTTAGCTGTTTGCAGTAGATATAGGCAAATCTCAGATGTATAGTATTGAGAGAAAAACTAAGTTTTAAAAGTATCTCTACAATGTGGTAGCATTTTATGTACATTTTTAGAACCACAAAACTTATTTATATGCATGTATATAAAAATGTCCAAAATATTTTAAATCATTAAATGTGAGATTGTTTTTAATATATTTAATACTTTTCCTAGTATAGTTAACATGTATTTAAGATTTTCAAAGGATCTGCAAAGGCATAGAGAATGTTATAATGGACATTAGAGATTCAGGAGTGGGAGAGGGTAAGGGGCAGAGGGATGAAAAATTACCTATTGGGTACAATGTACACAGGTGGGAATGGTGGGTGTTCTTAAAGCCCAGACTTCTTTGCCACTGTACAGTGCAACCACATGATCAAAAATTATCTGTACCCTCTAAAGCTATCAAAGACAAAAATTAATTAATGTATTTTTAATATTTTATAAACATTTCTTTTTTTGTTTTTCTGGAAAATATATCCTTGAATTTTTATGTATCACTACCTGTAGATTGTTTCTTACAACAGCTCTTATGAAAGAGCTTAATTTAATGCCTCTTGATACACAATGAATAATTATTTCTATTATTGTTCTAATGAGAGAGTAGAAGGAATTGTGAATCACTTCTAGATATGTCATCAGTTTTGAAGATTCACATGGCAAAATAAAAGAAGCTTTAAAAATGATATCTAATTTGTTGTAGGTCTCCTCTTACCTGGATCTCATTACTTGGGCCGTTTTCAGGATCGTTTAATATGGATAATGATTCTAGAACATGGCTATACTTACTGCTGTATTAACATCAAGGTCAGTGTACATTTAAAATCTCTAGTATTTTTATAGTACACATTTAAATTTTTACCTGTTATGTACACATCAAACACTTCAAAGCTCGATTTGAAAGAATATATTTTTAATTACCCCTGAAAACATCTACGAATTTTTACAGTATATTTCTTTTCTTTTTTTTTTTTTTGAGTTGGACTCTCACTCTGTCAACCAGGCTGGAATGCAGTGGCATGCTCACGGCCACCCCAGCGTCGACCTGCTGGGCTCTGGTGATCCTTCCGGCTCAGCCTTCTGAGTAGCCAGAACTACAGATGCACACTACCACACCTGGCTAATTCTTTTGATTTATTGTAGAGATAAGGGCTCGCCAAATTGCCCGGGCTGGTCTCTAACCCGTGGGCTTAAGCAATCCACTCACCTATGCCTCCCAAAGTGCTGGGATTACAGGCTGAGCCACCAAGCCCAGCCAAAGTATATTTCAATAAGCACATGTTGATAACCAGACTAGTGTTGATTGTATAATAGATCATGGTAACAAAATATACCTGCTTCCTTTTCTTTTAGTCTTATTCTTTGTGTCCCTATATAATTGAGCATCTGAAAATTGTGAATCAGTAATTTTTTCATATATGAGGGAAACCCAAGAGAAAAACGGAATTTTTTTTGGGAGGGCTGGCCCCTTGTAGTACAGGCTTCCCCTACTAGGTAAGTAAGTGTTCTAGGAACCCATTGGCATCCATGTGTACCTGCTAGCGTTGTTGTAAGAGGCTGCCTTCAGCTTCAGGGAGTGTGTGTGTGTGTGTGAATATTCTTTCATTGTATGTGCCCATTTCATGATGAGTGATTTACAAGTGCACCTGCTCACATTGTGCTGAGTGTTCAGCAGTATTTGACTAAAAATGGCACAGCCCCTGTGCCCTACCCTCCCTATTCACTCAGTCTCATCCCAAGTGACTTTTTCTTGTTTCCCTGAATGAAAAATTCCTCAAAGGGAAACATTTTGCCAGTGTGGAAAAGGTGAAATAGAAAAGGCAGAAGCACTAAAAGGCATAAAAATTGATGAGTTCAAAAATTGTTTTGAGCAGTGGGAAAGGCATCTCAATAGGTGTATTACATCAAACAGAGAGTGCTTTGAAGGTGACTGAAGTTTAAGCATGGGAATGATTAAATACACAATATTTAATAAATAAATTCTGGAGTTTATTGGGTCCCCCCTCAAAAACATTCTCAACTTAATAAAAATTGTCTCCTGATCCTACTGCCCCATCTGCTATATGCTATTACCCTCCTTCCTTTAAGAGCAAAATGCCTTATTAGAGCTGCTTATTAACATATCTCCAATTTAATTTTTTTCATTCTATCTTCGACTTATTCTAGGTTTTTTTAATCCTCTATTCCACCAGAAGTGCTCTCATCAAGGTGTCTAGTGAGTGTCATGTTGCTAAATACAGTGATCAGCTGTCAGACCCAGTCTTTCTTGGCCTGTCAGCAGCAGCATTTGACACAGTTGATCTCTCCTTTTTGCTTGCTCCACAGCTTACTCCTTGACAGTCTACTTTAATAGTTCCTTCTCTTTTCTTTGCCCTCTTTAAAACATCAGAGCATCCCAGATCCTAGCCTGCCTTGATGACAACTCTGTCATGGTTGCTGAAGTCAAAAATGCTGGAGTCATATTTGACTCTTTTTAACTTTTATACCCTACATCCAATCCAACAAGAAATCAATCCTGCTGGCTTCACCCTTAAAATGTATTATATATCTCATCACTTTTCACTGCCCTGGTCCCAGCCACCTCATCCCTTACAGGGATAATTGCAGTAGCCCCCTAATTGGCCTCCCTGCTTCCACCTGTGCACCTTACAGTCTAATGTCAACCAGAATGATTTTTAAAATCTAAGTTAGACCATGTCATTTCTCTATTCAAAACCCTGCAGTGGGTGTCTTCTTTCATTCAGAATAAAAGCCAAAGCCCTAAGTGGTCAGGTATCCTATTCCCTCTTTGGCGCCTCTTATTTTAACTCTCACTGTATTCCAGCCTGCTGGCTATTCCCACTGCCTGGAACACTCTTCCTTCAAATAACCTTCTAGTTAACTCCTTCACCTTCAAGTCTTTGCTTAAATGTCACCTTCTCAATGAAGTCTTTTGTGGCCATGATATTTAAAGTTACACTTCCATCCTCATCCCCGTACTCCAGTTACCTCTTGCCTTGCTTTACTTTTTCCTTATTTTTATAGCATATACACCTTCTAACAAACTACGTAATTCACTTATTAGTTTACTGTTGATTGCCTATGTCCCTCACTCTCTAAGTGTCACAAAGACAGGGATCTTGTTTTCATTCAGGGATATATCCCAAGCCCTTGAAACAGTGCCTGGCACAGAATAGGCCTTTAACAAATATTTGTTGAATGAATAGTGAATTTTTGTCTTAGCACAGATTGGATAAAATTGCTGGTTACTAAAAAACTATCCCTTTAATGCAGTACTAATATTAATTATTTCCTGAGGACTTGGTAAAAATGGAAATTCTTGGGCTACTGAATTAGAAACTCCGGGGGAAGGTTTAGCAGACTGTATTTAGAAGAGTATTCCATGTAATCCTGACTCACCTAGAGTTTGAGAACCTTTGCTTTAGTCTAACCTGTACAAGCACAAGAAGGCAAAAAAATATTGAAGACATTTTGATTATTCATTTTATTCTATTTTTAAAATGGTATGGTTTACTTATTGGTCTTTTGTGCTCTGACATATGAGGTTTAAAAATATACTTTTCAATGACAGTCTTATCTTCTTTTCCCTTCCTTTTTCTAACACAAACTGAGTTAGGCTATGTTACCTACTAACAATTCTATGGCAATTTAAAATTTACAAAACTAACTTAATCTTCACAACCCTGTGTGCTAGGATTACTTTTCTTTGAAAGAGAAGGAAAAGGAATCTCAGAGAGGGTAAATGACCTACTCAAGTTGTGTGCCAGCATATGGTGGACTTAAAAACAGGTCCTGAGCTGGGATCAGTGACTCAGCCTGTAATCCCACACCTTGAGAGGCTAAGGTGAGTGGACTGCCTGAGCCTGCGGGTTCAAGACCCGCCTGGGCAACTTGGTGAGAACCTCATCTCTACAATA